ACTGGGCATTCCAAAGTGGGGCGGTGCTGTGGACTAAACCCTTTAGTTTTTAAGATCTAATCTCATGCTGGGTAAATAGTGGCAGAGTTAAATTAAGTCATGAATATTCAGTTTATAGCCAGAGTAGGGGAGAACTGATGGATATTGGGAAAGACACTGTAAACTGGAATTTTAGTAATCCCACCAGACTAAACTATACGATCTGTCTCAGTTCACCAGTTAAATAGACAAGTGGTGCTGGAAAACAGAGATTTGATCAAGTCATGTGGTCTTGGTTGCTCATACATTGCTGTGGTAAACACTTTAATCAGTGTAACTTATAAAGTCTTTAATTTGAGCTTACAGGATTAGAGTCAGCGACCTTAATGGTGAGAAGTATGGAAGCAGGCATGAATGGTACCAGAACCGTAGAGGAGAACTTACTACACCTAGACACATAACTAGAGAAAGAGACACTAGGCCAGAAATGACCTTGAATTGCTGATCATTCAGAATGTCTGTATCTCTCGTGTGCTTGGGTTGCGGCTGTAGTACTTGGCTTCAGTAGTAAATGCCTTCCTTACAGTCCTCAATTTGTTCCTATTAATAACGTTGCAAATATAATATCCAGTGTAGAGTCAGTTAACCAGGCCCGTAAAGAAACAGGTCAACATAAACAGTTATCCACAGAAACAAATGTACTGTGAACTGACATGTAGAGGTACTTATTGTAAATTATGATATGCAGACTTTAAAATAACAGATTGCCAATTCTGAGAGGTCAAAAGGAGAAAATTAAAAATTAGGCAGAGAAGTGAAAATAATGCAAAAGCTTATATTTTTTAAAATTTAAGTTCTGACTCTGAAATAATACAGTAATCAAAACTAAGAATTTCAGTGCACAGATCGAGTAGTACTCAGAGTTAGAGAATTAGAAGTCTACAAGATAGGCAGTGGGAAGTATTCTGGATGAAGCATAGAGTAATAGAATGGGTGATGAGAGAAAGTATGGGTATGATGCCTGGGAATAATATAATGGAAAGTTCTCAGATCCATTGGATTGAAGCCACCTAAGGAGAGGAAAAAGTGGGCCAGCAGCAGTATTGGAAGAGATTATAACTGTGAAATTTCCTAAAGTGATGAATAATACCAGGCCACAGATGAACTTAGGGATTCATGTAAGCTGTCGAAGTCTTCTCCCTAACTACACCTAATTGCATTACCTGGAACAAGGAAAGAGAAGAGTAAGACCCTTAATAAAGAACAGTCATATTTTTTGTTGTATTTTTGCATATATGTATGTTTTACAAACCTGGAATCATTACATATATGGCTTATGAATTTTCCTCTCTTGAGATGTCCTGAATGTTTCATATATCATTAAAATTTAATAAGATTTTGGATGTGATATTTGAATGTACTGTTATACTTTATTTGTGTGTGTATGTACATGTGTGTGCTTGTTCAGATTTGTAGGTACATGTGTGTTTTAGGGTGTTGTAGGTACATGTGCATTTGGTGGTCAGAGGATGACCTTGAGTGTTGTCCTCAGGAATGTTATCCACTACCTGTGAAACAGGGTCTCCCATTGGCCTGAAGCTGACCTGTTAGGATAGGCTAGACCATCGAGCCCCAATGATTCCTGTCTCCTCCTCCCCATCACTGGGATTAAAATTGCATGCTACCAAGACCAGCTTTTTACAGTGATGCCTGGATCAAACTGAGATCCTCATCTTACTAAGCCTGCCTGTCTAGCCCTGTGTTACATTTTTATTTAACCAATTTTCTGTAGAATATGTAGTTAACTTGCCTGTGGATCAACTTGTAGCTCCTTCTCCACCCTCAGCTCCTTCTCTATCAACATGTCTGCCTCATGCCATGTCCCACCACGATAATAATGAACTAAACCTCTGAAACTGTAAGCCACCCAGTGAAATGTTTTCCTTTATAAGAGTTGTCATGGTCATGGTATCTCTTCACAGCAACAGAAACAGAAATCCTAACTAATATATGGATCAAGAGATATTCTTTATCCCAAATTCTTGGGCTAAGCAGTATTTCAGATTTTTAAGTTTGGGGTTTTATAATCCCTTTGTGTAAGTTGTATCTTTCAATAGTAGCTGGAGTAATTTACATTATTTCACATTCTTTGACTTTCTGCATGACTTTGACACTCCTTAGTTAAAAGTTAAGATCTTTGTTTCCTCTCCTAGAACCTAGGTGAGTCTTTGTCATGAGTCTGTCGCAGCCTCAAGAAATAACAGCAACATTGAAAGCAAAGCTGCTTGATTTCCAGGTCTAGACAGGAAAGGCAGGACAACTGCTACCTGGTTGGCTTTTAGGACACTCACCCTAGAACCCAGGCTTGTGAGGAAGCCCAGGCTACAAGGAGTGCCTGCGGCAGATGTCCCATGTGACAGCCTACGGAGTCCCAGCCAGCATAGCATCACTGCCAAACACTTGGCAGGCAAGCCTGGAGGTGATTCCAGCAGCCAGATCTTTGAGTCTTTCAACAGAAGCCTCAGACTTCTGCCCATAGAAGCTGAAGGACAATAAATGATGGTTGGTTTGGGCCTCTCAGTTGGAGTCAGTTATTATCCAGCCATCGTAAATTCTCTCTTCCTCCCTAGCACTGCTCTTTAAAACTCTTAAAATTCAATCAAGAAACCATTTTCATCTCCAGATGGAAATGGTATCTTGATTTAATTGCATTTCCTGAGTTACTGTGAAGAGCCAGGCTAGTAGGTAGACAGTGGGGGTGATGTGCTGAGTGTGGCTATCACTTCAAACTCAGGAAATCCAATACTGAAATTGTTATGTTTCTACTTGCGGCCTGTTCCCCATCCTCCCCCTCCTCCCCCTCCTCCTCCTCCTCCTCCTCCTCCTCCTCCTCCAACAATTCAGTTCACTTATCAGATCAGATATTACTTCCTTCAGTTCTCTTTCCTCAGTTCACCCTACCTTAATAACAGGCCAAATATGGCTACATCACCCAGGACCTGTGCATAGTCTCTGTGGAAACTGCCCTTTTACTTACCTTTCTACTGCACTGCATGTTTAAAGTCCTCAGACTACCAATAGTCTTTTCTATGTGTGGCGCATAGTATGTGCATGATAAATAAGTATTATTATTTGGTTAGTTTTAATTATTTTACTCTTTTATGTGTATGGGTGTTTTACCTACATAAATGTCTCTGTGCCACAAGCATGCCTGGTGTCCAAGACGGCCAGAAGAGAATACCAGATGCCTTGGAACTGGAGTTGCAGATGGTTGTGAGCTGCCATGTGGATGCTGGGAATTGAACCTGGGTCTTCTGCAAGAGCAACCAGTACTCTTAACTGCTGAACCATCTCTCTAGCCCCATTCTTGTTTTTTACGCTGGTAGGAATCAAACCTGGGACCTTGTGCACTAAGCAAGCACCCTGCCAGTGAGCTACTTAAGCCCAGAAGACTTACGGTTTCAATCTTTCCCTACCCAATATTATGCCTAAGTGATAACAAAGGTGTATTTCAGAACTTAATTTCTAGTCTTGGTTTAGTTAACATTTTCATTTCCTGGATTTATTTCTTCTAGTAACTTTTTCAAATAAATTTTGTTTCATATGATGAATATAGCCATCTATCTCTAACTTTTTATCTAAGCCAACTTAATAATGCTAATTTGGGTGAATTTTTTAAAAGATGGGTAAATTTAGTTTAGAATTATACATGGATTCTTTACATAGGGAAATGCTCCTTAAACATAATTATAATTTGAAGCTAATAAGAAGTCATCTGGCTGGGCGGTGGTGGCGCGCGCCTTTAATCCCAGCACTCGGGAGGCAGAGGCAGGCGGATCTCTGTGAGTTTGAGACCAGCCTGGTCTACAAGAGCTAGTTCCAGGACAGGCTCCAAAACCACAGAGAAACCCTGTCTCAAAAAAACAAAAACAAAAAAAAAAAAAAAAATAGAAGTCATCTGACTGGGTCCCTGCTCTGCTCCAGGACTCTGGAAATGGATCTCCATGCTGGCTGACCCTCAGAAGTAAATGTCAGCTGTGTTCACCCTTCAGGTTTTCAGATGGCAGTTTCCTATTTCAACTTCTGTTCAGATGTAAATTAAAAATTCTTTATTGGTTTATTAACATGATATTTGTCGTTCAAGCACAAATCTCTGACTAATATTTAAGAATAGCATTTAAAGTTTTGTAACTTTAGACGTACTGAACTATGGAAGAATTGTGTGCATGGGCCCCCTTTAATGAGTAGTGATAGCAGGACTTGGGGTTGTTAATTCTGATACTGTGTTATTTAATATCTATTTTCTCATCTCTGATCCCAAGTTGTCAGGTCCACTCCTAGAATATTCCTTAGTAGATTCAAGCTGTATAGGAATTACAAAATAGGCACTATATTAATTACTTTCCTCATTGCTGTGACCAAATACCTGACAAGTAGCAACTTAAGGAAGACTTTTATTTTAGCTTACAGTTTGAGGGGACCGTTCATCATGGCAGAGAAAGCATGAAGGCAGGAGAAGGAAGTGTCTGTATTGCATGCACAGTCAGGAAGCAGAGGTATCCTGACAGAGATGTTCCTTGACATTTTATTCATAGCTTTTAAATTTAAGATTATAAACCAGAAAGTAGTGGCACACACCTTTAATCCCAGCACTTGGAAGGCAGAGACAAGTGGATCTCTGTGAGTTCAAGGCCAGCCTGGTTTACAGAGCGAGTTTCAGGACAGCTAGGGCTACATGGAGAGACCCTGTCTCAAAAAAAAAATCAAAAAAGAGAAGAAAAATTAAGATTATAGAAAAGTAGACATATGTAAATCACCATTAGTAGGGCCTGACTCTTCTGGGAACTCAGTTATTGGAAGAATTTTTAATAAATTATATATACCATTTAAAAATATATAAATATATATATATATTAGTATAGTTAATACAAGTCTACATTTTGGGACCTCAGACAGGCTTAGTATTAGCATATTATATTCCTGATTAGATCTGCTTTTTTCTTTTCTTTCTTTTAAAACAGAATCCCAAAACGAAAGAGCAGATTGAAAATCTCTTGCGGAATGGCATGAACAAGGAACTGCGTGACCGTCTTTGTTGCCGAATGACTTTTGGGACAGCAGGACTTCGATCTGCCATGGGGGCAGGGTTTTGCTACATTAATGACCTTACAGTAATACAGTCAACACAGGCAAGTATTACAAAGTATTATATATGTACTTTTCTCACTTTGTTATTTTACTTTATAAATAAGGTAGTGACCTTCTTTTAAAAAAATAAACTATTTTGTTCAGGAAGGTCCTCTTTTAAACATAAAGGGCAGACCAATTTTGATCTTTTGTTTTGCCCAGGAGTTAAATTGGAAAACATTTTGTATCTACAACAGCAGTTTTCAACCTGTGGTTCATTGACTCCTTTGGTGGGGTCAAACAACCCTTTCACAGGGGTCACATATCAGATATCCTGCATATCAGATATTTATAGTACAGTTCATAACAGTAGCAAAATTACAGTCATGAAGTAGCAGTGAAAATAATTTTATGGCTGAAGGATATGCTGGGGGTTGCAGCATTAGGAAGGTTGAGAACCACTGATCTACAAGGTCACAGCCCTTCTCCTGAAGAGTTCTTTTGGCTGGGTATGGTGCACACCTTTAGTTTCAGCACCCAGGGGAGGGGGAGACTGGAGCTGATGGAACTGTCTGGGTTTGAGGCCAACCTGGGCTACATAGCAAGTTCCAGGCCAGCCAGGACTACAAAGTGAGATGGTAAAAATTCTGTCCTCTGGAGCCTTGAAATAAAACAATCTCCCTGACTCGGAATGTTCTCTCTGGCACACCCCGCTTCCCACACTGACCCTCTTTTCCTGCCTTTCCCCTCTCCCTCATGTGTTATGTATCGTATTGGAGTTGTGGTTACTAAGTTGACATTTCTGTAGTATTAAAGGTGTTTGAAAATCTGAGAAATGATTGTCACCTCACATGTGTGGATTGAGCAGTATAGCTCCCACGTTAGTAAGCATGGCTGTACCAAAGTCAGTTCTGATCTATTAGCAGCACACTAAACAAAAACAGGACACTTTTAAGTTGTAAAATGCAGATATCGAGGCTGGGATGCAGCTCAGTGGTAATGCACTTGCCTGTTTGAACCCTCAGTTCATCCTCAGTGTGGAAAGGGGGTGTGGAGTGGGCAGGGTGGGGGACACTTACAGTGGAACTTTGTAAGAGGAGTTAATCTTGTTTGTTTGCTGCAGGGGATGTACAAATATCTGGAGAGGTGTTTTTCAGACTTCAAGCAGCGAGGCTTTGTTGTTGGGTACGACACTCGGGGTCAAGTAACCAGCAGCTGCAGCAGCCAGAGGTACGGTGTTAATTATTGCAAAGGTCGCATTGGAATAAGGGTAAAATACTTAATTTTTTTCTAGTGGCGAGAGTTCTGAAATAAGAGACCTTCATGCAGAAATGTGATCTCACGCTAATGCTTGTTGTGTTTCTGAACCCTGAGAACAATTTTAGCTGAAATAGAAGTAAAAAAAAAAAAAGCACTTCAGAGATAAGCTTTAGATTTTATAGAAGTGTAAAAATAACCTTAAAATATTGCAAATTCAATTTCACAGAATGTCAGTTTATACATTTTTGTATAGGTATCGATTAGGAGTAATTATGAAGTTTCTGTTCTCTTACAATCCTGCCTTAGTATCTTTTTATAAATTGATAGTCTTGGTACTTCTTTAAGGGGATAATTATACATACGGAGTTTATTTGCTTCACTGTCCTCCAGTCTTGTCAGGTTTTTTTATTTTTGTGTATGTATGTCTGGGGATGAAGCTAGGGCCTTGTACACACTAAGCCAGTGTGCTACCACTAAGCAACAACCCTAGCCTCTTAAGCAAACAGACAAACCTTATTTAACAGTTTCCAGTTGGAGCATTAAGCCTAAATGATCAGTGGTGGTAAGAACATAAGGGAGACTGAGGCAGGAGTGTGAGTTTGAGGCAAGCCTAGGAAACAGTTCCAACCAGCTTTGGCTACTACCGAAGATCTTGTTTCAAAATTTAGAATAATTCCATTATGAGATATTTGCTATGGGAAAGGTTGGTTCATTAAAATTACGGGAAGGACTAAGTGAAATTTGTTTGTTTTAGGCTTGCTAAACTCACTGCTGCAGTGTTGCTTGCTAAAGATGTTCCTGTTTACCTTTTCTCGAGATACGTTCCTACACCTTTCGTAGTAAGTATGTGGTGATAGTGATGACTCAGCTGGCTGCCCTTCTGGGGGTTTCTTAAGACAATTAGGAGTCAAATCTTTGCCATACCTATGGTTCTAAGTATTGAATGTCCAATCCAATGAAAGTCCAGCTAGAAGGAGGAAGATAGTTTTCCCTTTGAGCTTGATCTGTACAAGCTGCTTATGGTGAGATGCTTTTAACCGGAAATTGATTCATCAGGACAAAAATGACAGAGAGATTTGAACACACTACTGATAGATTGAGGTGGGTTTTGTGCATTTCTGTGTGAGAGCTGAAAAACAGACAGTGACCAACAGGCTTGTCACCGACAGACTTTGAAAGACTGATGTGACTGGTCACTGGTCTGATGGATTATTATATACATAGTGATTTGGACCAAAGATGCACCAGCCACATTACATATAGTGCACATTACATATAGATGATGTCCTAGTTACTATGTTACAGTTATAACTGATGTTCACAGTCTCAAGTTTGAGCGTTAGGAGATTGGTGCTATTGACAGAAATGAGGTAGTGGATTGTGAGCATATTGACAGCGCAAAACAAAGAACCTGAGCAGAAATGAAAACAACAAACAATAAAACTTAGGAGGGAGAACTAAGCCCTACTTTTAGGGAGGGAAATTTGTAAGTTTAATGAATGCATTAGCAAAAAAAAAGGTTGTTAAGATACTGAGCTTATGTTGTCATAATATATTTTTGCTAAAGTAGAGTAAAAATAATGAAATCATAAAAGTAGGAGAAAGAAATAAGTACTTAAAATAGTAACAAGACGGAGCTGGCCTGGAGAGGTGGCTCTAGATGCCAAGCTTGACAACGTGAGGTCAGTCCCTGGGGCCCACATGGTAGAAGTAGAAAGCCAAGTCCTGCAAGTTCTCCTCTGTCCCCACACATAGGCCATGGCACGAATGCCCCACCACCAAATAAATAAATAAATGTAATTAAAATTTTATTAAGAAAACAGTAGAATGAGTGTTAAAGATACAAGACACAGTGTAGTGGCATTTCACTTGTATTTTATTAAATAAAGCTTCCCCAAAGATCAGAAAAGTAAAATAGCCAGCCACTGACTCTTACCTCTCCCTCAGTCCAAAATGGCAATTCTGCCTTCAGAAATCTCAGAATGAGACTGAGACTGAGAGCTGCCCCTCCCATTTTACAATCCTCTCTAGTTCTGGTATTAAGGGTGTGCACCACTACCGCCCGTTTCTATGACAAGCTAGTTTGGCTACTGGGATTAAAGGTGTGTGTTATTGCTGCCTGGTCTGTAAGGCTGGCTACTGTGACTGTTTTACTTTTTTGATCTTCAGGCAAGCTTTATTTATTAAAATACAAAAGAAATGCCACTATAACACAAACAAAATGAGTGTGTAATAAATACAATAGAAATGAAGATAATCAGTATTTTTTAACTGTGTAATTTAAGTAAATGTGCAAATTTAGATGAATTAGCCAATTTCTTGGAATAACAGTTGATACATCATCTTACAAGGAATAGTAAACTTGAATAACTATAATTATCCAATAAGTTGAATTGGTATTTTTAAAAGTATTCTCAAATTTAAAATAACAAGTCTAGACAGTTTATGTGCAAGCTTTATCAAATCATTAAGAAATGAATATCTATAGATTATTCTATTGAGATTTTGGAAATTTATTGAGCAACTTAAAGAATTGAAGGAATTGCTTTTTACTCTAAAGTATATCAATAAAGGTAGCACCAGAGAATAAAAAAACTAGAAAGGAGCTAGAGCTGAAGCTCAATGGTAGAGTGTTTGTCTCACACGCATCTATCAGCTCCAGTAGCAGAGATATTCAGAGATCTAAGACTGTACCATCGAGTTGCCAGTTCCCACTCACATCAGAGGTTGTCCTCCTTGACTAAGTGTGAGCTTAAATGGTTTCTGGAATTGTGTCAAGGAATTAGACTAGCGTGATCAGACCTGAAACGTCTATGCACACCCTTCCCCTCCCCTCTCACCCCTACCTCCTGTGGTCGTGGAGAGCAGTCAGTACGATGGTGGAAGCTGTAGGGAAGCATCCAAGGAAGAGAAACAGTAGTTACCATAGAGAGAAAGAGAACACACAGCCTGGGAGAGAGAAGGGTGAGTTGTCACATGACATGGAGGCACAGAGTGTATGTGAGGATCTTCAAATTAAAAGTCAAAAGTCTTGTGTTAGACTTTTGAATCTTCTACCTAATCACCATGTGATGTCAGACAAAACTCAGTAAAATGTGATGGATAGATAGTTGATAAATTTATTTCCATCTCCCAACTATTTGTGATTATATTTTCCGTTCATATCTCCATTCCAATAAAGTATCTGTCATATAGTATTTACTAAATATTATTGTATAACAAAAGAATAGGAAGTTGTTATACCAATAAGCAAAATGAGATTGGTAGGGAAGACCATTCAAGGTGATAACTGGGTGGTTGTTGAGCTGCATGTATTAGAAATGGACCTTACCCATCAAACCTGGAGCTGATAAGACCTTAAATTATTGATACCTAAGTATCCTCCTGCATTATTTAACCAAGTAACGTTCATGTAAAATGTATGAATATCTAGCAAGTAAAGTGGAAAAATGCTGCTCTGGTATTTTTTTATTTTTCCAGCCATATGCAGTGCAGGAGCTCAAAGCAGTTGCAGGTGTGATGATTACCGCATCTCACAACCGCAAAGAGGACAATGGATACAAGGTAAGCCTTGGACGCCTAATCTTTGCCTATTTTATAAGTTTTATTTTATTTGAATAATATGTGCTTGGTATGTTCTCAACACTGAGGAACAAAACCAGGCATTGGAAACAGATTGAGAACTCTGGCTCTCCCAGAATGTATACCTCCCGTGTGTTTATTGGTTCCCAGAGTGTGCATGTTACAATGGTCTCTTCATTGGGGTTTTACTTCTGTTTTCTTTGATTTCTCCATACTTTCCCAATATATCCCCTCTATAGTTTCAGAAATCAAGTCATGTTGTGTATCAAGAATATGAAGATGAATTGTAAGACTCAGGGAAATAGTACCTTGACCTCACTGTCCCCTCCCTTTGATCTGCCCAGGCTTCTCAGTGGCCACTGGGTCCATTTGCTGCATGAGCCCCTCTGACAAAATGACAAGACAGTGGCAGAGGGGAACAGCAACTTGAGAGGTGCACACTGAAGACACATAGCCCAGTACTGAGCCGAGTTTCGGGCTCCTTGGAGATAGACCCATGTTCTTGCATTTTTCTTCTTGTTTGAGAGGACTCCAGACACACTAAGTTCCATTTTAAGTAGGGGAAAGATTTAATATGGATTTAAGATTCTTAGAGTCAGGGAAGAAGTATAATTAATTCAGTTTAGGCCATGTAAGTTCCAAGTACTGTGAGTTAGCCAAGTAAGCAGATGTGCTGTGACTGTGGAGATCTGTAACTCAAGGAAGAAATATGGGCTGAAGTTACAGGTCTTAGGGGTACCATATCTATTAGAACATATAGGGTTATTTGGAAGTTCTTGACTTGGATGTACAGCCAAAAGATAAGGTAGAAGGAAAAGTCAAGAATGGATCCTAGGGAATATTAACTTTAAGGGAAATGAAAGGACAGGAAAAAAGATACTAGAGATAGAAGAAAAGCTGGAAGAAATTAATGCCATTAAAGCCTAAAAGACTTAGAGAGTTGCAAGGGTTAGTAAGAGCAAAGCTTCGGATTTCTGTATCCAGACTCCTACTGTAATCTGTTGGGATGTGTGGGAGACATTTCAGAACCAGTGTCTCTTTAACAGAGTTCTTAATTCCCCACAGCTGCCTCATATAGACCCCAAGTTAGTCCTCCCTTGATCTTCCCTTCTCTGTCAATTAGTGTTACCACACACCTAAACAGAAGTGAAAACCTGTTCTTGACTGCTTCCTTTCAGTTCGACACTGATCTCTGCCTCTCAGAAGCTTTGTGATCTGGGGCAGGCTGATCTACTCCTTTGTGCTTTAGTTTTATCAGCTGCAAACTGAAAATAATTGTAGAACCAATGTGATATAGAGTGAAAGTAAGATCAAAAGTCGTAGTCCCTACCACAGTGTCTAACTCTGACATGTTCTCAGTAAATGTTAGCTGTTTTTATTCTCAGTATCCGCAGCTTCTCTGTATAATGTAGCCACCGATGGCTGCTAAACACTTAAAGTATGACTAGGCTGGACTAAGAAGTTAGAAATGCAGAATAGTATATTTTAATACATTGGGTTATAGAATGTATATTAAAATTCATTTAATATTTTAATCTTTGTTTTATTTTCATCTGTTTATTTTAAAATTTTAATTGTAAAAGGAACATATAATTCACCTTCTGAACCTTTTTTATGGGGAGAGTGGGTATTTCCAAAACAGGGTTTCTTTGTGGTGCCTTGGCTGTTCTGGAACTCGCTGTATAAACCAGGCTGGCTTTGAATTCACAGAGATTCGCCTGCCTCTGCTTACTGAGTGCTGCTGTGATTAAAGACATATGTCACCACCGCCCAGCTACTCTGAATCTGTTTGATGTGGTTGCTAGAAAAAATGAAATTACCTATGTGGCTTCCATTTGTGGAGCACATTTTGTTCTTTTAGACACTGCTGTTTCAATAGGATACATGTTTTTTTAATTTCTCTCTCTCTCTCTCTGTGTGTGTATGTATGTGAGAGAGGGGGGAGGTGTAGAGGTCAAAGACTAACTTTATATTCCGTTTCCTTCTTTTCATTTTCCTGTGGGAGAAGTTAAATTTTTATCATAAGATAAAATTTTAAAAGTAAAACTTGTGGTCCAAAGGGATATGCAAAAAGAGCGAGAGCAAAGTGTTAGGAGGGAATAGCACTTAGGAGCACTGCTGCTCTTCCAGAGGACCCTGGCTTGTTTCTCAGGAACCACATGGTGTCTCACAGCCATCTGTAACTCTGGTCCCAGGGACTCCAGCGCCCTCTTGTGGCCATAGTGGGTGACAGCCTCACAGGTGGTGGGTGTACACAAATATCTCAATTACTGCTTCTATTTCACTAGAGGTTATGGATTTGTTTAAATTGTTTATTTGATCTTGATTTAACTGTGGTGGTTCATATATGTCAAGAAATTCATCCATTTCTTTTAGTTATTCTAGTTTGGTGGAATACAGACTTTTAAAGTATACCCTTATTCTCTGAATTTCCTCAGTGTCTGTTGTAATGTTATCCTTTTCATTTCTATTTGGATTTTCTCTCTCCATCTTTTGGTTAATTTGGCAAAGAGTTTCTCAATCTCGGTCTTTTTTCTTCAAAGAACCAATTTTTCGTTTCATTGATGCTTTATACTGTTTTTGTTGTTGTTCTTATTTATTGATTTCAGCCTCGAATTTGATTATTTCTTCCCATCTACTCTTTGGGTGTTATTTCTTCTTGCTCTGAAGTACTTAGATTTGTCACTAAGTTGCTAATATGAAATCTCTCCAGTTCGTTTTGTTTCTGTTTTTTGTGTAGGCACTTAGTGCTATGAACTTGCCTCTTAGAACTGCCTTCATTGTGTCCCATAGGTTGGGTATGTTGTGTTTTCATTTTTATTCAGTTCTAAAATGTTTTAATTTTCTTCTTGATTTTTATATTGACCCGATTTTGATTCTTTTGCGTTGATTTCTATGAATTTGTATATTTCCTGTTGTTTCTGTTGTTGATATAAGAATTTTCAAGTTGAATAATTTGTCACATTGTGACAGAGTTTAATACGTAGTATATGCAGTCAGATGTCTTTCATTTAGAGTGGAACAGCAGGGTTCCATGCCATATCTGTGATAGAATCAGCATAAATATTTTTTTTTTTTTTGGTTTTTCGAGACAGGGTTTCTCTGTGGTTTTGGAGCCTGTCCTGGAACTAGCTCTTNCGAGACAGGGTTTCTCTGTGGTTTTGGAGCCTGTCCTGGAACTAGCTCTTGTAGACCAGGCTGGTCTCGAACTCACAGAGATCCGCCTGCCTCTGCCTCCCGAGTGCTGGGATTAAAGGCGTGCGCCACCACCGCCCAGCCAGCATAAATATTTTTTAAGCAATGTCCCTTCGAGCTTTGAAACCCTGTTAAGTCTTAGAATTACCTTTTTGATTGCTTTTGTTTTGGAGTGTGTGTGATTATTCTTAGTGCCTTACTGATCAAACTACTAGAGAATTGAAAACTACTTGAAATGGACTTAACATACTATTTTATTTTTTCTGATACATATTTTGATATTATGTAAACTCTAATCTACAATGGAGGTGATTTATTTATTCTGTTTCATATAATACAATACTGAGTTTAATAGTGTAAGTTTTTGTGGATATTTCATTGTTCTTTAGTTTTTAAAGATCTATTTATTTCAGGTGTGTGAATGTTTTGCCTACATGTATGTTTGTACACCACATGCATGCACTACTCTCAATGCAATGCTGCAAGAGGGTGTCAGAGCCCTGAAAACTGAGCCTGGAGTTACAGATAGTTCTGAGCCACCTTGTCAGAACCAACCTGGGTTCTCTGCTAGAGCAGCCAGTGCTCTTAACTGCTGAGCCATCTCTTCAGCCCCATTTCATCTTTTTTATATTATCTTTAGAAATAGTTATAAATCTAAAAATACAATTTTATACTAGCATATGCATATATTATAAGGTGGTTATATTAATCCCTCATATTAGCTTGTTACTGCAGTTGATTCTAAGATAAGCTATAATACATGACTGTTTTATTGTAACAAGTCATTACCATCAGTGTACTTTAGTGTTACTTAATTAGCCTAATGCTGATAGTTTTTTACTTAATTTGATATTCTTCACAAAGTCAGAGAGCTCTACTATAGCTGAGAAAGAGCCTACCAGCATTTTAACCAATTATGGCTGTATTTATGTATCACATAGGTGTATTGGGAAACTGGTGCTCAAATCACATCTCCTCATGATAAAGAAATTCTGAAATGTATAGAAGAGTGTGTGGAACCATGGAATGGTTCCTGGAATGATAATTTAGTGGACACCAGCCCTCTGAAGAAAGATCCTCTCCAGGACATCTGCAAGAGATACATGGAAGACCTGAAAAAGATCTGTTTTCACAGGTATCCAATGGGACTGTAGGATAGCCTTAGAATAGCATATATCCAGGCCTGGTATGGAAATGTCCTAAATGAGCTTGGTATCAGAATCATTAAGTTATTCTCTCTCTCTCCCCTCATTCTCTCTTCCCCCCTCTCTCACCTCTTTCCCTATCTTCCCTCTAACATACTAGGAGATACTTAGGTCATATCGAAAGCATAAAAGAACCAACATGAGGGCCTACCACTGGCCAAAGACTAGAAATCTAGTCTTCAAAATGAAAAATCCACTTTTTTTTTCTTGTGGTAGAGATTGAACTCTGGGCTTTATCCATGCTAGGCAGCACTCTACCACTGATCTGACTGCCCCAAATTCAACTATTAAATTCAGAAAGAAGAGTAGAATTAAAACATCACAATTTTGTGATCTCAATAATGAACCTTAGCAGCCATGCTCAAAGCTTATAATAGGCAATAAATTGATAGGAGCTTGCAGACGGATGGATGAGGATGACAGAGCACTAATAAATATTAGCCGTGAAGTTGGCATGATGGACTTCCTATTGTGGCTGGGTACAAAATACACATCTTCTGTTCTTGCCAAGAGAATTGGAATTGAATCTCATGTTGCCCCTAGATTAAATGGCCCATACATTGTAGAAACAGATCAGAGAAACGTACTAATATAAACAAGGACTGAGATGTAGCTCAGTAGAGAGCTTGCCTTGTGTGAGCAGAGCCTTCCCTGAGTTGAATCCCAGTAATGCACAAACTGGACACAGTAGCATACACATGTAATCCCAGTACTTGGGACACAGAGGCAGGAGGATCAGAAGTTAGTGGTCACCCTCAGCTACATGGCGAGTTTGAAGCCAGCTGGAGACATTTACGAGATTTTGTCTCGAACTGAAAGAGGTGGGAAGGAGGAAAAGGAAAACAAAATGAAAAAGATGCGTAATACCAAGATGCATTCTCTGGGAGAAAACAAGCATTGGAAACATACAGAAAGAACATTTACAAAGTCATGACTTGAAAGGCATAGCAACCAGATGTCATTTTTTAGACACTTGGAGAAAATGTGAACACAGATATTAGACAACATTAAAAAAATTATTGTTCAGTTTGTTGGATGTGACAATAGGATTATGTTTGTGTTTTTAAATCCTAAAGTATTTTGTTCAAAATAATATGCTGAGAAGAAGTAAAGCCAGACTGACAGAATTGATAGATGTTGAAACAAAGTGCCAGGTATATATGGGTGTTGGGTGTTCTCTTTATGTGTATTTTGAAACTTGTTATGAAATAATTGTTATTTATTTTATAAATCTTATTTACTATAGGAAGTGGTTAGTAAATGACGAGTAAGGATATGTGGTTTTTCTTTACAGGGACTTAAATTCAAAGACCACCTTGAAGTTTGTGCATACCTCCTTTCACGGAGTTGGGCATGACTATGTGCAGTTGGCTTTTCAAGTATTTGGTTTTAAGCCTCCAATTCCGGTCCCAGAACAGAAAGATCCAGATCCAGAGTTCTCTACTGTTAAATGCCCAAACCCTGAAGAAGGAGAATCTGTGCTGGTATTGTTTTTAATATTTAAATTATTCTTAGCTTATTACCCATCATACTAGATGTCAAGGATGACTTACATGCTTCCCTGTGCCCTGCAGCAAGCACCGTAAAGATGTGTTTGAAATCTCCGCAGAAAGTGGCCCTAGTTCTGTCCGTCCAGACTGCATGTTTTCTGAAATTCGTATCACTGACAGTGCCTACATTACAAGCACATTGGACTTGGGTTCTTTAGTACAATCTAGTCTTTTTGGATTTCCTGTTTAGGAACTCTCCCTAAGACTGGCAGAGAAAGAAAATGCCCGGATAGTGCTAGCCACAGATCCTGATGCAGACCGGCTGGCAGTAGCGGAACTTCAGGAGAAGTAAGTAGTTTGAGCTTCAGCCCTAAATGGGACGCCCACATCACCTCCTCCTCCCAAGGATCAAGGATTATCGCAGAAGGGGGTATGTAAAGATTCTGAGAGCCGTGTTTTCAGGACACAGCAGGTCAGCTGCGCGTATGAACTCACAACACTGGTGGGGACAGAGACAGGAGGCTCGTGGAGTTCATGGGCTAGCCATCCTAGCTGAATTGATGAGCTCCAGGTTCAGTGAGAGACCCTGTCACCAAAAGTAAGGTTGCAAGCTGGTGAGATGACTTAGTGATTAAGAGCACTTGCTTCTCTTTCTGAAGTCCTGGGTGTGGTTTCCAACACTCAGATCAGGTGGCTCACAGCTGCCTGTATTCCAGTTCCAGGGGCTCCACCATCCTCTTCTGGCCTCCACAGGCATTACTTACATACACACATACAGGCACACAAGTGTGCACACATGCACATGAATTAAATTAAAACTATATTTAAAAATAAGGTGACGAGTAATAGAGGAAGTACTCAGTGTTCACTTCTGGCCTTCCTACATACGCAATACCTGTGTACACACAAGTAGGACACATGTGTACATAACACACAAAAAAGAAGGAATAAATGTCCTGTCATATAATAACTTTTAGGGTTTCCAAGACAAGGGGGGACAGGGTGGGGACACTGATTTAAGGTCTGAGCTGGAGCGTTTTCTTGAGAAGCTACCGAGGTCTTGACTTTGAAGTTTCATTCTTTCTACAGTGGTCACTGGAAAGTTTTCACAGGAAATGAGTTGGCAGCTTTGTTTGGGTGGTGGATGTTTGATTGCTGGAAGAAGAGCAAATCGGACGCTGATGTGAAGAATGTTTACATGCTGGCCACCACCGTCTCTTCTAAAATTCTAAAGGCGATTGCACTGAAAGAAGGATTCCACTTTGAGGTAGGAATAAGTGGGCGTCGTTAGAAGTCTGCACGGCACTTCTCTAAACATTTCTACAAAGACTTCTAACTCTTTACGCTTGCTTAAAATGTTTGGTAACTAGACACCTGAGCCAAAGTCATCTATTGTGTGCATTTCCAGGGGACATGTTCTTCCAGACACTACAACAGTGCTTCTTACTCCACGTAAGGAGTGTCTGGGGATGTCATGTGAGAACATAGAACATTTTAGACTGGGAAAAATCTGACTTATCAGTGACATATATATTCCTCATCACATAAACGTACTGTATTTGATGTAAGTCACTGTTTCTCTGCTGGTGGGTCATCAGTTGTGCCTGTGTGTGGTGGGTGGCTGTGGTAGTTTGTGGCTATATATCCACCACTTTATAAACCTCTGTGGACCAAGGACCTGGACAGGAACTCACTGTTCAGGAGTTCTGTGCATTTAGAAATGAGCTCTTTAATGTGTGTTCACTTCATCAGAGTTGCTTAACTGGAGGGGCTTCCTCTACATTTCAGGAAACATTACCAGGCTTTAAGTGGATTGGAAGTAGGATAAAAGACCTCCTAGGCCATGGGAAAGAAGTCCTTTTTGCGTTTGAAGAGTCTATTGGTATGTAGTAAATACTAATGATCTTTTAGTTGAACATTTCAAAATATGGTAATTCTAAAGAAAGGAGACATTTACCTCCCAGCTGTAGCTTTGAGTTGTGGAAATGCAGAGATGCCTGGATGTCTTTCAAGTGAACAGTGGCTCATCAGATGAAAGACTCTCAAATCTGATTACAAAGAAGGACTTGGTAAAGGCTTTATGTAGGCCGCGGTGTTACGGAAAAGTTAAGCATGTGATGTGCTTACATGGCATTGTTTAAAACCTTAGAGGCTTTGCTTCCCTAAGAAGGCTAAGTCAAATACATAGGTGCATTTTCCATCAGAGAAGAACTTAGAGGTCCCTGAGTACATGGTTACTAGACTCCTAGGGAGGTAGGTGTTTTATTATTGCCATCACTATATTTTGTTGATAATGATAAGTGTTTTGTTTGTTGTTTTTATTTTGAAACAAGATGTTAGCTATTACATCCTAGCCTGGCCTTGAACTCCCAATTAAGCCCCTTGGGTGCTGAGGTGTAGTCATACATTACCAAACCCGGCCTGAGACTATGCTCTTCAGTGCTGGTCAGAGGGAAATATAAGACTGTGGTAGTTGTAGCCGAAGTCTCCCCCTTTTCTAAAGATACCGTGTAACCCTCAGGCTTTCTGTGTGGAACCTCCGTGTTGGATAAAGATGGCGTGAGCGCAGCTGTGGTTGTTGCCGAGATGGCCTCTTTCCTGGAAACCAGGAAGGTGACCCTGACAGAGCAGCTGGCCAAAGTTTATGAAAAGTAAGTTCTCGTATGAATCTCATGCCAGATAGTCCTTACTTGCCTTTTTGTTTGTTTGTTTGATTTGGTTCTTTTCGACTTTGTTTGTTTTTGAGGACTAGTTATAATTATCAGTATTATTTTCTATAAAATATCACATTGGTTTATCTTTAATATGTACATGTCCCAAAAGTTACCTTGAATCTGACTTCGGCTTTAAATCTTTGCACAGATACGGTTATCACATGTCCAAAACTTCATATTTCTTGTGTCATGACCCACCTACCATCAAAACTATATTTGAAAGGATTCGCAATTTTGAGTGTCCAGGGGAGTACCCAAAGTTCTGTGGGGCCTTTGCTATCTTGCACGTACGAGACATAACCACTGGATATGACAGCAGCCAGCCCAGTAAGAAGTCCGTAAGTACCTTTTCTCCTCTCTGCGGTAGGTTCATACATACCTCACCATTATTTAAGGCTTAAGGCAAGGGCCGATGGTGATAGGGCACTTACCTAGATGTGTGTGAGACTTAAGACCTAAGGCAAATGCTACATCCTCCTTACGACTCCAGGTCCCATAGGTTTGTGATAGTGTCTTTGTTGACATCTATTTATGCATGTGGTAGGTCCACTTCTCTATAACTCTCAAAGCTCCTACCCTGTGTGGTAGTTGCTCATTGGATACTTAGGTGTGATAAATTTTTATATTTGTTCTCTTGTTATGATAACTGTTAGCTTAAGTCTTCATTTATTATATTCAGATGTTGTACTATTTAAAAGATATTGTTTTAGTATTCTAATAATGTATTTAACATGTTTTATCTTACCCAGTTTTAATATTTTTTATTCTTTGAAGATTATATACATGGTTAATGTATTTTGATCTTACACATCCTCACTACCTCCCTCCAACTCCCTCTGGGAATCATCAACCCGTCTCCCTCAGGATTTCATGTTCTCTTTTTAAATCTTACCAGTTTTCGAACATTCAGTGCTGTAATGATAAGTATGTTTATATTAGTGCACAACAGATTCCCAGAATGTTTTAGCCTTGATAAATTGAAACTGAACTCATTAAACAACTTTCCACCTCCATCTCCCAACTCTTGGCAACCACCAATATACTTTCTTTCTATGAATTAGACTACCTTAGATGCTTCATGTAAGTGCAATGTAGTTTATATTTCTTGAAAATATAGATCCGGGTGTAAACTGTTGCATTTTGCATAGGTACTGCCCGTGAGTAAAAACAGCCAAATGATTACGTTTACTTTTCAAAATGGCTGTGTTGCCACTCTTCGAACAAGTGGGACAGAACCAAAGATAAAGTATTATGCGGAGATGTGTGCATCACCTGGCCAGAGGTAAGAACTGATTCTTTTAGATATATACGTAAAGACTTTATTGGTATATAACTTATATACCATAAAATTCACACATATCAGTGTAAAACTGAGTAGTGTGTAGTACATCCAGGGCTGTGTAACCATGACTACAGTCAACTTCAGAACATTTTCATAACTCCAAAAGGAAGCCTCTGTGTGCTCCAGGAGGCCCTTCACAGCCCAAGTGATCACCAATCTACTGTCCTTTTCTATAGATTTACTTACAGTAGACATGGGTTACACTTTTTCTTGTTTTCAACACTTGAAAAAAAAAAAAAAAGAGGGGACTGGAGAGATGGCTCAGAAGTTAAGAGCACTGACTGCTCTTCCAGAGGTCCTGTGACTTCAATTCCCAGCAACCACATGGTGGCTCACAACCATCTGTAATGAGACCTGGTGCCCTCTTCTGGCCTGCAGGCAGAATATAGGCAGAACACTGTATATATAATAATAATTTTTTTTTTTTAAAAAAAAGAGGAAGCATTTATTTGGGTCATGCTTTTTGAGGGTTCAGCTCCTGGTTGCTGGATCTATTTCTTTGGATGTAAGGCAAGGATGAGCATGATGTGGAGGAGGAAGGGATCAGGTAAAACCTTCAAAAGCACAGCCCAGGGACCGATTTCCTTCAGGTTCTTTCTACCCCACATAGCACCAATATCTGAAGACAAAGATTTATAATACTGTAATACCTGAGTCTATGAGGCACATTTCAGATTCAACATATAACAGGACATTTTATATAAATAAATACAGTATGTGGTCCTTAGTGGCTGAAATCATCCTTAACTCCCAAATATTCCTTTGTATGAATATATACCATGTTCTTAAATCCACTCATACATGGATATTCAAACTATTTACATCTTTTAAGCTGTCACAAGTGAGCATTTTTGAATGAGCTTGTGTGGCATGCACTTTCATTTTTCTTGGATATATCTGAAGGAGTAGGATTTCTGGGTCCTAATGTAGCCCTAAGGTATCCTTTACCTCTCTTGAGAGACTGCCAGTCTCTTTCCAAAAAAAGAAAAAAATTCTATCATTGGGAACTGAATTTCAAAATTGTAGTGATTTCATTTTGTTCTTGGAAAGACCCTGAGATTTAGTATAAAGCAATGATCAATAGTTCCTCTGTATATTACCAAATACTTGTTTTCTGTATCTGTCATGGTTTTGCATAATCTGCCCAATTCATTTTCTGAAGATATGAGTTGTCAATAAACACATCAAACATTATTTTAAGGTAATAAAAGTATTCCTTTTGATTATGTCATTCATTGACCAGTGGATTTGGGGGAAGGAGATTTTATTTTTTCATTGTCTTTGGACCATGCCCTTGTACGAAAATTGCATTTCCACTGGAGAAGAAAAAGTCCTCTATGTTCAGAGAAAAGTTTATAGCTACCCAGATAAGGTGATTTTAGGTTAAAATGAGTATTATTAAAGTAATAAGATGGATGTTACCTAGCTAGTCAGTGACTGGGAAAGCAATCACTGGAAGCTTCTCTAGAAACATTTTGAGCTGGAGCAGTGCTCCCAAGACGACTCAGAGGGAATTGCTTGTTAAGTGTATAGTTTTTGTTTTTGGTTTGGTTTGGGTTGGGTTTTCGAGACAGGGTTACACTATGTAACAGCCCTGGCTGACCTGGAATTCACTTTCTAGACCAGGCTGGCCTCGAACTCAGAGATCCCCCTGCCTCTGCCTCCAGAGTGGGACTAAAGGTGTGTACCTCCACCGCCCAGCAAGTGTATGGTTATTTTTTAATAAACATTTTATTATTTTTTTCTACTTTTGTTTGAGACAGACTCTCTTTGAGACAGTTCCAGGATGGCCTGGAACTGTTTGTGTAGACCAGGCTGGCTTCAAACTCACAGAGGTAACACGTCTCTGTCTCCCCAGTGTGTGCTGGGACTGCTTTCTGCTACCTGAAAAACAGGTAGTGTCCCTGTCACCTGTATTGAATATCCTTTAGTACCCCAGGAAGCCATTCTGTAATAATACTTGGCATTTGCATTTGGAGCTATTCAATTGCCTAGTCTAGGAGAATTAATTTATCATAATTAACTCATACTTTATCGTGGGTCAGAAGATATCTAGTTCATGATTATTGTTTTGTATATGAATTCTTTGAGAGAGTCTTGATTTATTTTAACTGGGTGAATTTTGTTTTTGCTTGCCAATTATTTAACTATTCCATTTACTTTTACTCCCTAAAAGTAAAAATAAATAAATGTTAAGGCAATGAAAATAAGAATTTTAAAGTTCTTTGTCTTTTTCCCCCAGTGACACTGTCTTACTGGAAGAAGAATTAAAGAAGCTCATTGGCGCTCTGATAGAGAATTTTCTTGAGCCCAGTAAGAACGGCCTGATCTGGCGTTCTGTATAGGGCACTGCAGAACATGACCACTTTGCACTGACATGGAACGAAGAACTCTAGACAGTGAACCTTGTGTTGGAATTCTCTCATCTGCCAAGTTATCTTTCCCCTTCTCTTTCCTTTGTTCAGCTAAATAGATTATATACATTTGAAATGAAAATGTTTTCATAATCTTAAATGACAGTTATTACGTTGAAAGTGTTCAGTGGCCCGCCATTCCTCCTGTGTCACAAACAGTACAAAAGTGAGTTTGCTTATTAAACTGTGGTTAAGCTTAGTTACATGATGTAATTGTGTATAGCATGGTTTAAAAGAAACATTATATAATATAGGGTTAGTTAAGGAAATTATTTCTTAAAGGTGTGTATGTTGCCTGGGGTGTTCCACACCCATTGTGGAAAAGTATCATTGTCATGATGTAGGTATTGATTTTCAAGTTAGAAACCCAGGTTGGTGGCACATTCCTGTAATTACAGCCCTCAGGAGGCTGAGGCAGGAGGATCTTTAGTTAGTTTATGGCCAGCCTGGGTTGCACAGAAAAATTCTGTCTCAAAAAAAAAAAAGTTTATAGTTTTTTTTTTTTTTTAAGGTTTTGTGACTTGGGACAGATATCACAGTCTGTGGTTTTGCACCTCTGTCTCAGGTGCCCTTGCTATGGTGTATATTTACTGTATGTATTTAAGACTGATGTTTACTGAACATAAAACAATAGTGGCAACTCTCCCAGTGGCTTTGTTCTTGTCTAATTTCTCAGTGCATTCTCAGGGTGCGGTGTGAACTGAACAGTGTTCTGGCATTGGATATAATTTCATCAGTCCATTTTCTGATGGTTAAGGGAAATCTTCCCAACTGTATAGGTGCTTCCTATATAGAAAACAGGTTTGTTGGCTCTAAAAATGGTTGTAGAAAAAAAGATCTTAATAAAATCTGGCTTAATGTAACTATAGTTGAGTCTTCGTGTAAGGATTCAGATATCATAGCCTATAAGTGAAAAAGAAAACCTACTGTGGAATGAATGTGGCATTTGACAGTCTTATTGAATTACATTTTTATGAGTAGATGTATTCTTTTATCTGAAAAGTGATGCTAATCTTACCAAGAAATGGAACATCAAGATATAGGTATTTTCTGCCACCTTGATTCAACACCCAGTCTCATTTAATCTCAGAAGCTGAACAAGGCTAAGCATGGTTGGTGCTTGGGTGGGAAATTTGGGTATTATGAAATATGAAAGTGCTGTTTAAGACCAAGGTCAATTTATTTTAGTGTGTTGCTGGCTTTGGACTTTCTGATAATATAAATATCCTTCTTCTTTTTCCGTGTGAAAACAGTTTTCAGGAAAGTCATTTTTGGCTGATTCTCTAGCACTCTGAAAAGCCCTAATAGAGAAATATTGTCTAAGCTTTCCGAATTGTGTATCTCCTTACATAGTTCACAGAATACTTGCTATAGTTAGGATAACAGTAACAAGGCCTTGGGGTGTAATCGCTTAAACCAAGTTTCCTATACAGTACAGCACTGATACTAATTTATTTCCTGAAAATAGAAATATATTGCCTAAACAGATTAGAATGTTAATTAAATCATGGTTTGGGTTTTTTACAGACTTGAGCTACTTTTGGTTGAGCTTTTATGTTGCCACTATTGTTAATTTGTTCCTTCCTTGCTGTCTTAGAGCTGGGTCCTTCCTATATGACTATAGATAATAGCTATTAGTGTACAGTGCCATTTTCTGTATGGGTTTATTTTAAAGGCTTTGCCTTAGAGAAGAAGTATATGGAATGTTTTGTTTTATTCTTAAAATGTATAAAACATTTTTGTTTATTGGCTGATAGGAGTATAAATGTAACTTAGGAAATGGCATGTATTTACAAAGCTGTGCCTATGGAAAACATGCACATTAGTTTCAGTGTCTGTGTTCCAGTGATCCAAGAACAAAATGAAACTAAAGTGATGTGACAGCTATTCATTATCACAGAAGCCATGCCATGACTGTCATCCACTTATGAAGAGGACATTTTTGTTTGAATGCTGTAGCATATACAAGCCATGTCATCTTAAAGTGAAGTTACTAACATTTGAGCTCTTACCTTGAAGGCCTAAATTCCAGTTATGTGTACAGGTTCCCAAAGTGTATAACTTGAAGAAACTATTTGATTTTGTCCAAATTCTTGCCTGTGTCTGAACATGTTTAACATAAACTTGGCATAGTGGGTGCATAGGTCCCTGACAGGAAAGAGATGTCAGCCAGTGGGTCTCAGCTTTGGCGCTACATTTGTTCATTTCTTTTCTTTTTTCAACAATAGTATGAGAATGAATATATTTTCTTTGAGCGAATAAATCAGAACAGGTGTTTTCTGGAGCATTAGGGAAAAGAATTAGGCTGGGACAGAGCCCAGTGGTAAAGCACTTTTCTAGGATGTAGATAAAGCAAAGATAGCTGCCAGGCTTGTGGGGGGGGGGCATGCGGGAGAAGGTTGTCATTGATGGGCAAAAATCAAAGAGTAAAGTGGAAATACCAGTAGAGATGACAGACAATATATAAAAGCCAGCAATGGCAGCATGAGAAATGGTTCTTGTGAACCATAATCCAAGTGCTGTTAACGGTGGGGTGAACTGTACGTGAACAGTGGCCGCTCACACTTGTGTTTGTGAGCGGACGGCAAGTCTACCATTTTCCTTCAGTCATTACCACTGAAGAGAAGCCCCGTTCTCGGAGGAGAGGGAAAAGCTCTATTATGGATCCCATTCCTCCTGGGATGTTCTTTCAGAATCACATGAGAACGAGAGATGAGAAAGAACAAAACTAAAAGAAATAAAACTAAGGATTGTAAAGTATAACCTCTCAGAAAAAGTTCAAGGACAGAAAGTTGTTGAGCTCATTAACTAAATGATAAGTTATTCATTGGGGTTTTACTGAAGGAATCAAAGAACACTAATGGCATCCTGACGATCCTTAGTGAAGACACCACAAGGAATAAGGACGTAAAATGAATAGGAAAGACTTGTTATAAAAACAAGAAAAGAAGACATGGTGGGTAGAAGGGGACTCGTTGAAAAGGGAAGTCAGCAGGAGTGGGAGGGGTTAAGAGAAGGGGGATGGGGTGACAGTGATAGAAATGCATTTTATACACAAATGTAATTGTCAGAAATAAATTAATAGGCAATGTGAAATGTTTAAGAGGGGGGGTGATATTGAAACCTTATTTAAAGATTCCTTCATATACACTTTTAAGAATCAGGTTGGAACAAGACTTCTGTATAGAGCACTAACGGTGAGTTGTGTTCACCCCATATCTAGAGTTTGGCTCGCAAATATCTTGTGTATATTTTGAATGGTAGGTGCATGAGCACAATAATGGGTGTCCTTTTTAATTTGCAAACTATGAGATTTGAAGACACTCGTGTTCATCTAGGAGAACGCATGGCTTTATAAGATATTTGAGATCTATTGCAAATAAAGTATCAGTATTTGGCTATAGAAACTTAAGACAGATTCCAAGAGAACAGATACTTTGTGATGTCTGCATACAACAAGTAGACCTCCCATTTCTTCATCAAGATGCTTCTGGAATTGACTCAACAAAAACATTAAGTGGGAGTCTCCTCGAGAAGTTCAACAAATGCTGCTACTACTTCTATTTCCAGACTTTTCCACTGGTGTTTCCAAAGCTTGAAAAATACAAATTCCAGTTGGATACATTTGATTTCACACCTTTCTTGCTCTACCTCCCTCTCCCCATGGCATCCTCTACCTTCTGTTACTGTGAAACACTACTGCCCTGTTACCTCACTGGTCAGAATATTAACTGTGTTCATTCGGATGCTTTAAACTTGGTCGTGACTGTTTACAGATGATTGTTTTACTGTTGTCAGAATATTTGAGACGTACTGTATGATGTAACTTTAATGTCTGTTAGTGCCCGTTTCTGCTTGCCATAGATGGTGTTGCTGTGGCCTTTTACAATGCATTTATTTTCTGAATTTGTTCTTGAAACTGACGAGGAAACAATTATATTGTCAAAAAAAATTAGGATTTTAGTAGAATTATAAATCAGAGGAGCGTGAAAAGGATGGGTAATGGGGCCTTGTGAGCAAAACCCAGAGAAGCCCACCATTGACCGGAGAGTCCCTGTCTGGCTCTGAGTCACCAGGGGATTCTGAATTCTCTGCAGTAAACTTCACACGGGGCTGGGGATGTAGCTCAGCGCTGGAGTGCTTTCCTGATATGCCAAAGGGTCCTAGATAGCAATATTCCCAGCACCACACACACACACACAAAAAAAATACCAGAAAGAAACACAAATTTGTCATTTGTTCCTCAATTTCCAGCCCCATCTCCCAACCTGCAATTGCTGTTTTTTTCCTGGAAGGACACATAATGATCTTATTTTAATTTAACAGATCCTAGGATATTCTCTGCTCCCTAACCTATACCAGGTTAATTACCTGTAACGACTATGTTACTTTGAGCCGTATAAGATTGGCCATTTATTCTGTTTAATTCACTGACACTCCTTGACACACCAGTCAGCTGCCTGAGAGCAAAGGTCATGATTTATTGTTTTTAATATCTATTCTGCTAAATTCAGTATCTCCTGTTTTGCAGTATTCAACTGGTGATAATAGTGATTAAGAGGTTTTGTTTTAAAGTAAAATTTAAAAGGTAACAAAATAGTAGTTTTCCACGTAAGTTTTAAAGATATGCATTATTACTGAACTAGGCAGTAAGCGAGGTTTACTAAGCATGCCCACCCTTAAGCTAAGACTCTCAACGTCTTATTAGGGTCTCTCGTGATAAACATGACCAAAAGCAACTTGGGAAGAAAAGGGTTTGTTTCATTTCAGAGCTTAGAGGGAAGTCAGGGCAAGAGCCTGGCTGGAGCTGAAGCAGAGACCGTGGAGGATTCCTGCTTACTGGCTTGCTCCCTGTGGCTTTCCTCCTTTCTGATAGCGTCCAGGACCACCAGCCCAGTCTGGGACATCAGGCCAGTCGGTGGAGGCATTTTCCCAATCGAGGTCCCCTCTTCTGAAAGGACTAGCTTGTGTCAAGTTGACATAAACCTATGCTGCACTTTCAGTTTCTTTGGGGAGTGCAAAGCATCTTTCCTCATGAAAACCATAACATATATTTTCTCATAAAACAAGGATTTGGCCAAGATGGCTACGAATGCATCTTACATGGGTTGAGTATCACTTATCTGGATGCCATTTTTTTTAACTCATAACCCCACCTTATAAGTGAGTTATCTGATTTGTTACTTGAAGCATTTTGTCCAATATTAGGATTCATCGTGTGTGTTATTGGAGTCACTCAGGCAAAAATAAGTTGGGGGGGGGGTGGAGATATCTATCTATGTATGGTGAGTCCTTGTTGTAGGCTACAGTAAGCTCTTGGTATACATCATTGGATGTGACAGATAAAACAGAATCAAGAATGGATTAATTTTCTAATAGCTCAGAATCATGCCCTTGTTTTAACAGTCCCTGTCAATATCCTATCTTCCCCTGTGAAAATAATTTGAGCCTGTGAGAATTTGCACCTTGTGTATTGGTGTGTGGATTTCTGTGGTTTTAATCAAATGAGACATCCTCAATAATAAACAGGTCTCCATAGGTATGAGTGTCTATGTGATTTTTTATTGTCTCAGATACTGTGTAGTTGATAGTTTGCTGTCCAAACTGATGTTCCTAAAATGTGGGCATAATTTATCCTAGAGTCTGCTTGCACACTAAATATTTTGATTCAGCACTTGGATTATTTCTCGATTGACTCATCTGGAAGTCCCAGGGGTTGAGAACTCATATTAAAATAATAGCCTGAGGCTACAGGGGAAACTGGGGCACGGGTGCAGAGGGAGGAGATTTTCCAGTTGTCCTCTCTCTCCATGCGTGAATGCTTCCCACTGGTGAACAAGATAGCAGCCCAAATTGAGTCCTAGCATTTTTTCTGAACAGTTAGGGAAGCCTCTGGACAACTCAGGGACCTGGTGATGGGACCAAGGCATCTTACTCTGCTGCTTCCTCCCTGTTGTGGTTCGAATGTGAAATGTCCCCCCATGGACTCTGTGAGAGGCTGTGGAGCCCTTTTGAGGCAGACAGCCTTCACTGAAGAGCTGGCTACTTCAGTTCCACCCACATCTTGACTGCCAGTGGCCATCCTGCCACCATGTCTTCCCCACTGTGATGGAGTATATTCCTTGGAGCTGTAACCCAGCATAAGCCCTTCCTTTAATTGCTTTTATCAGGCTACTTTATTACAACAGGAAAGTAACACACTCCACCAGGGACCGGAGAATAGCTATTCAAAGTTTGCTCAATGAATCGGAGTCCTCCAGCCCGATGGGCACCCTCCCTCCTTATATATAGGAAAGCAATGAGGCAAGAGAGCACTCACAGATCACAAAGGGAACTGGGACTAATGCTCAGATTCCTTTAAACTGTGGTGTGTGTGTGTGTGTTGGTCAACGGAAGTCATTGGATATTCACTATCACTCTCTACCTTGTTCCGTAGAGATGGAGTCTCAATAAACCTAGAGATAGTGGTTTGCAACACCCTTCTTTCCCCCACTACACTACACTAAACAAACCCCCATGATCCTCCTGTTTCCCCACTTCCAGTGCTGTGGTTACGGGCACTCAGTGCAGCTTTTTGCATGTGAGCTGTGGATCCAAATTCAGGTCCTTATACTCGCAGAGCAAGCACTGAACCTCAGCCATCCCTCCAACCCAACGTTTATTTTTTAACCTAGTAAATCCTGGCTACTCTCTCTGAATTCCTTTTGCAGACAGACAAGTTTTCCTGCAGTCTAGTGTTTGCTGACTCTTATTACTATGCAGTTGTCATGTACAGCCAGGGGCACCCATGGGACACTCGTCATTCTGTCTAGAGAGCTTAGGCTGAGTCTTTAAAATGACTTTCTCCCATCTTCCCAGTCACCACGGGAAATAGGTTTGTCCATTGTTTCAACACACTTTCACAAACTGTTTCAACAGTTTCCCATCTCTCTGCCTCTTGAAATAATTTCCTCATGCTTCTAAACTCCACTGCTTGCCATTTCCCCAGTGTCCCTGATCCAAATGCCGTGAATTGTAGGGTTTTGTTAAAGGTACCATTTTGCTTTTAAGCACCAATTTCTAATTCAGTCAACTTTTGTTTTTTGAGACA